CGGTGGAGCAGAGAGGCAACACAGACTGTCTGAGGCTGACTATCATGAACTTACAGTACATCCAACCAGCCGCCCTACGACTAGCAAAACTGAATTCTATGACTTGTTTCGTGCTTCCTATGCAACCCAATGTTTTATGTCATTTCTACTTATTATATGGCTATTGGAAAATATGAAAGCAATACACTGCTAGTTTTGTGCCTTTAGAAAGATAAGACTAAAATTTTATATTTAGACTTTAAAAAATTATTTTTACATAGAGTATACTATCCATGGAAACACGAACTCTAACTCCTGTAACACTACTTGTCTTTCCTCAACTGCTTTTCACTGTCCCTAAGCTTCACACTCTTCATGTAAATCTTAGGGTTCAGGTTTCTCTATTCACGTCCTTGAACTGATCTCAAGATTGATCACGGAGAACTGATCTCCTTGAAAAAGAATTTACTTTTTTTTAAAACAATATATGGCCTACACTGGTGCCACATGCCTGTAATCCCAGTACTCTGGAGGCAGAGGCAGAGGCAGAGGCAGAGGCAGGAGGATTGTGGCAAGTTCAAGGCCAGCCTGAACTACCCAGAACAGCCTGTCTCAAAACACCAAAATCAATAAACAAATAAACAGACACGTGGTCTATGGAAACATGAATTCTATCTAACATGTAAACAGTGATGAAAACCTTAACCAACCTTTCCATCCATTCCTAACCTTCACATGCCCTCCTCTGTCGCCTGCTTTTAAAGAAACGCCTAGGACACACATTTTTCATTTTGAAGAATAATTTTCTCATATATTTCAAAACAATGTGCTTTTAATATGGTAGATGAAAAATGAAAGGGATCCAGAGATAAAAAGCAAACAGAACTGGCATGACTTATCTTTGATATATAAGCCATTTCAAAACCAAAAGTCAAAGGAGGATGTTGGGAGCCACGTAAGCTGGAAAATAATTACACGTGCGTGATGAAGGCAGCCTGAGAACACAGGAGCTCCCCAGAGGAAACAAGCCCTTCGGAGTAAATAAGCCTTTGTAACTTGTTAACTGGTTGCTGGGCAGCGAGACAAAAATTAACCAACCTCTCCAGGGTATAAATAAGCGCTCTACTGTTTTGGGGGCAGTCCTCTTGCTCATCAGGCAAGAGGTAACTCCACCTGACCCCCGGCTATCTTCTCTTTTCTTTATTTTCTAAATCCTCTCGCAGTTTTCTCCCGGGGACCACCGAGAGACCACTGAGTCCCACAGGAGGAAGCTAGAACAGGCAACCACAATAAAAACTCCAATTACTTAACATTCATTAGAGGGCACTGTTTTACTTAATTTCATGTAGACTCAAAAAAAAAAAAGCTCAGATGATAGTGTTAAGAACATCTGATGAGAGCAGCCGAGTGTAGTTCAGTGGCACAGTGCCTGCTTAGTACGCGGGAAGTCCCTTGCTTGCTCCACAGGACAAGACAGGACGGGATGGAAAGAATAAAACAGAAAGAAAAACTGCATGGTGATTAAATCACACTTTTCTCCCCATCAGAAAAACACAACTTCAAAATTTATCCTAAGTGCCAATAAAGATCAGTAATCAAAGAAAAACTTTGGGGTATGGTGGCGCACACCTGCAATCCCAGTGCTCGGGAGGCCGAGGTAGGGAGATTGCTGCAGGTTCAAGGCCAGCCTGAGCTACATGATGAGTTCAAAACCAGCCTGAAGGGGCTGGGGATTTAGCTCAGCGGCAAAGCACCTGCCTGGCAAGCACAAGGTCGTGAGTTCGGTTCCCGGTACCGGACAAAACCCCTCCCCCCCAAAAAAAAACCAGCCTGAAGTACATGGTGAGACACTGTCTCAAAAAACAAAACAGAGAGAGAGAGAGAGAGAAAACCTGTGACCAGAAAATCAAGTAACAAAATTATCTTAGTAAGTTTTATGCAGTAATGCATAATTATAATGATCAAAGACCTATACTGAAATCAAGTTGGTGTCACATTTAATGAATGCACTCATAGTGCATACAGAATAAAGTAATCTACTCCATCAAAACAGAAGATATTGGTGAATAAAAAAATTACATCATATAATACATAACTGCTGGCAATCTAGAAGTCATCATCAATTGCTCTCCCTCAGGTACGGTGTTCAGCTCGGTACCAGGTCCTGTCTGTTTATCTCTATGTGGAGTATACGTTCTACTTTCTATTTCCAGGAGCGCCACATTATTCCTAACTTTGAGTAAATTTCTAACATCTCCATGCTTCTAGTCTTTCTTGACCACCACTTCATCATTTAATTTTTCTGATGCTATCACTTGAAATAAAACTGTGATGTCAACTGTTGTTCAAGCAGATACTTACAAGGTCCTCCCTGTACATGGGAAGAAGTAACAGACTCCATGGCCTGACATTTAAGGCTTTTCATAATCTGGACCTATCCGACACTTTGAAGCCCTATTCCATATTTGCTTTTCATATCATTTACCTTATCCCCAAATGACACACACATTCATATTTCTGCGTTTAGTTCAAGTGTTCTAATTCTAGATCTGTTTTCAATTTGAAAGATTCCTGTCCATTCTTGTTCAAAGGTAACATCCTGTGTAAGCTTGCGATTCACGGACATCTCACCTGCTCCCTCCTCTCTTATTCAGTGGCACTTAGTGCATATCTCTAGTACGGGACTACCATCACCCAAAGACAGCATTCGTGCACAATCGCCTGAATCACTCAGTTTACACACGCAATTTCCTGGATTTATGTAAAAGGTGATGGTCAACAGGGAAATCTCCTTTCCATGAAGTGCTGGCCCAATGGCTACACACTAGAAGAAATTTCCAAGATATAAAACTGACAGAGCTCCTTTAAAGATAATGTATAAATAATTCTGATAAATCAATAAGAAACAGTAGAAAACTCAGTAAAGAAACAAAAGACTTAAGACTTAAGTCAGTTCACAAAATGTCTAAATGACCAACAAAAATATTTGAAAGTGTTCAACTTAGTCATCAAAGAGATCACAGAATAAAACTATAATAAAACCACTATTTTCAAAGCCAGGCGTGGTGGCACATGCCTGTAATCCTAGCACTCAGGAGGCTGAGGCAGGAGGATCGTTGCGAGTTCAAGGCCAGCCTAGGCTACAAAGTGAGCTCAAGGCCGGCCTGAACTGCACAGCGAGACCCTGTCTCAAAAAGACAAAAAAAAAAAGACCACTATTTTCAAGAAAAGTTTAAATTCAAAGAAAAAAGAAGAGGAAGAAGACAACAAAAGCTGGCAAAAGGCAACTGTAAATATCACACACTGATGATGAGTATAAATTGGTACTACCACTTTGACAGTGTGCAGGAAAACGGACCATATGCACACAACATGATCCAATGATTCCACTTCGAGGTATGTACCCAGCAGAAATTTTTATATATGCTGACCAAAAAACACGCACAGGAATGACGACAGAACCACAACTGGTAATGGTCAAAAATCAAAAACAGGCCCAATGCTCATCAACAAAAGAAGGAATAAAGTGTAACACACCCCTCCAAAGTATGACCACTTATGACCGTGCAGCAACAAGCACAAATATTCTGTACCTACATGCAACAACACAGACCAAACTCACAAACTTCCTGCTGAGCAAAAGAAACCAACTTTTATATTTGTATGCTTTCACACATACTGAGACATATGTTACATTTTATATATATAAAAACTCTGTTAACTATGCATTTCCATATATTCATACAAGATATTTTAGTAATTTATATATTCAAAATTATATAAAGTTCAAAAGTTTAAGAATAATCAGAAAATATTATATATTTTAGAAATATATATTTTAGAAATGAATGGCAATAAAAATGATTCAGATATTAAAGTGAACTATCAGAATAATACGATGAAAATAATGTGGCCCATACGGTCAAAGATACTCTTTAGGATTTGTAGACAGGGATTACGGCTGCACTTGAGGAAGTGAGTGTCATGTGAAGAGAAAGGTAACAGAAGGGGGTTTCTGGGACACTTTGAAGTTTTCTTTGAAATATTCACATGGCTATTGGTTACACAGGTATGTTAACACTGCAAAAACACAACGTGTTGTATGGTTACGGCTAGAGTAGTTACTGCACTTTACAATGGTATATATTAACAAATGCTTGTATATCCAGTATGTTGTGGTTGATACATTGTGTCAACCTGAGGAGTCCAGAGGCTAGCTTAAGTGATCAGCAGTTCCACATCCTGGGGTGAAAAGGACACGCCCTTCCTGCTCTGGCATGTTGTTCGTGGTGTCCATGTGAGCAGTTTAGAAGGTTAAATGAGTGACTAAGCAGGGACAGGTCCTCACTTTGTATCATCCTGAGCCTGTGCAGGAGGAGGGCGTGGAGATGGTGTGAGTGCCACTAGCCCCAGGGTGGGGGTAGCCTGCTTACAATATAAGGAGGGAAAGAGGCTTGCTCCCCCGCCTCCTTATTGCTCTTGCTGCTTTTGCTGTCTTCTGCTGCCTTGAAGTGTTACCTCTGTGCCATGCTACCCTGCCTTGGAGCCAGCTGATTATAGACTGAAACCCACACAAACTGTAAGCTAAATAAACCTTTCCTTCGTTAATTTAGGGCGTCAGGTATTTTGTCTCAGCAATGAGACAAAAGTAACCAAGACACAATACATATAGTACATATATCTAGGATACAGATCTAGTGCATATTCTGTACATATAACATATAACAATAAAGTTTCCAAAGATAAAATACAGTTTAGGTCCTACTCTAATATATGAGCATCTTTAAGAGCTTTAATAACTCTTAAGAATGAAAAATGGTAGAATTTAGAAGATAATGTAATTAATTTTAACTACTCAAAAGTTATATATAAAAATTAATTTAAGCACAATGTATAGCTTAGTGTTGGACTGCTTGCCTAGCATGTATTACAAAAAAATCTAAGAAATAAAAAAATAAAACATTTCACAAAATCAAGTAAACAGATCTGATGGTTGCAGGTACAGGAGACCGAAAACTTACTAAGGAAGCTCTACGGGACCTTCGGCTCATTGGTTGATCAAATGGTGGACTGTTGATTTGTAATTTTTCGAGATATCCATCAGGTATTCTAATATCTGCAGGCAGGGATAACCGCTTATTTAAATCCTACAAAAAGGAAACAAACAACAATAACAACAACAAAAAACTTAGGTAATCAAATATAGAAAAAATTGAATTCATGGGCTTTACTGTATTATTTTTTAGTGATAAGTAATGAAAGTTTTATTGCAGTTGCAAAGTTACCCACATTAGTTACATATATCATACTGAAGGTAAAAATATTTACTGTAAGCAAAGATATATAGTGCAGTTTTCACAGAAATAATAAAAGGACCCAGTTACTTCTGAGTCCTTTAACTAGTAATTTACTCTGAAATTATTAGACCCCAAAGCATCATCTATAGGCATAGGCAAAGACTAGCACAAAATGTCATCAACTTAAATAAACAAATAGATATTACATGATTTTATATATAATATGGAAAATTAATATACTTATTTCTATTTCATTTCATTAGAGAAAGTGAGCTGTGAGACACTTGAAAAGAATCGTGCCTCTGTCATCAAAAGACATAAATCTATAAAAAGAAATCCCTTCTATTCATTTTAGTCATCAAGCCATAAACAGGGAATATATAAATGTTCACTGAGACATGTAAGATTTAAGTAGACATACCACGTTCCTAGATGGTAAGACTAAACAGTGAAACAATACTGATTTTCACTATATTAATTTTATCTATTTTTCACAACCCAAAGAACTAATCACAATATATTCAGAACATGTCTAAAATTCATCTAGAAAAAATATCCAAAAGCATTCTAAAGCAGAGAACAGATCTTCCAGTACTTGCTATGGGGTTAAGTCCTGAAAAATACATTTTAAGGTGAGAATATAGATGACTCCGAATGTATTTAACACACTAACTCACTGAACGCCTGCCTCAGTTTAGCACACAGTGACTGCAAGGGTAACTGGGAGTTGAGGGGCTGCTGCTGCGCAGCAAGGCAAGAGAACACTGTACTGTGCCTTACTGGCCCAGGAAAAGATCAAAATCCAAACTGTGAAGCACAGCGCTTACTGAGTGCATACTGACTTTGCACCACTGTAAGGATAAAACTCATCAAATGAATCATGGTAAGTCAGGGACTGTCTGCATATATATGCACGTCTCTCCAGATCCTAAAACTAAAAAGAATACACCCTGGAATCTGTCACCTTTGAGAAAATAGATGTAATTCAATGAAAGAATTAGAAAGTCCAGATATAGACTCTAAGGCTAACATATTTTAAAGATATAACAAAAGGTTACATGTCGTGAAGAAAAATAAGGAATATTTATATCACTGTGATATAATCTATGCAGTTACACAGATACTATGATGATCTCAAGAGTTACAAGTATTCATTTCTCATTCAAAACTAATATTGTGTTGGACATGGTGGCGCACGCCTGCAATCCCAGCACTCAGGAGGCTGAGGCAGGAGGATCGCTGCAAGTTCAAGACCAGCCTGGGCTACAAAGTGAGCTCAAGGCCAGCCTGAACTGCATAGCGAGACCTTGTCTCAAAAAAAAAAAAAAAACTAATATTGTTTTTCTGAACTCATTCAGAAGTAATCTTTTAACAAGGAAAACATATTAAGCCAACAGGACAAATACTGTAATCACTACTGTCTGGACAACAACAACAACAACAAAAAAAACAAAAACAAAAATTTTAAGACATATTCAATTTTTTTGCAGAAAATGATTTTAATCTACTGTTATACTAAAATGGTAGTAGTCATAATGGCCTTCTGTCCTCCAGGTTATAACACTGACAAAGAAAGGGGGAATGCATCCTGTATTCTGTTACATGGAGAAATAATGTAAATGTGCTATAGAGATCTGCAGTCACACTGAACCACAAAGGAAATGATACCCATACTTACAAAGCAAGGCAGGGAAAGCTAGTGTCTATTTTCTATACGTGTCTCAAAATTTGAAATCAAATTTATAAAAATGAAGTAAAGCTAGGTGTACTGATACACACACCTATAATCCCAGCACTGTAGGAAGCTGAGGCAGGAAGACTGACATTTGAGCCCAGCCTGGACAGTACAACAATTTAGTGAGACCCTGTCTCAAAATTTAAACAATAAATTTAAAAATTTTTTTAAAATGAAAAAGAATCCAAGGATACAGCTCAGTGCCAAGGCTATTGGGTCCACAGACAAGTAAGAGTCAGTTCATAGACTATTCTTTTAAAAACTTTTTAAAAGCTGGTAATCCAATCCCCAGTTTTAGCCTGCTCCCCTCAAAAGCACCAATATGAATCTCCAAACTTAAAATCATTATCTTCTAAAAAGAAGACTCTACTAATTTATCATTTGAGATTTCCAGAATTTTTAAAAGTTCACTTTTGCTTTACAAGGAATTTAAAACTGTTTTGTAGAACACGAACAACAATAAGTAATGCGTAAGTGCTTTGGGCTATTAATTAGAAAAAAAGGAAATGTACAGACTTCAACACACTAATGCAAAGAAACAAATATCACTTGCCATCATAAAAATTTTCAAATGGCATTTATTTGCTTAATATCTACGGACGTGTTAGTTTAGACACACAGACTCACACACAAGAGTATCCGTATATTTTAGGTGGCTACCTCCATTGAGATCCGCCTATGTATACGATTTCTGAGACAAACACCCGTAGGTGACTGGACTTCATCGGATGATGTCCCAGAAGCTTGGTCACTCTCACCGTCTGATCCCATCTTTAGATTCTCATGAACAATATCTGTATCAGAAAATAAGGCACAATTACCTTAAAGAAAATATATCCTACTATATCATATAATTTATCACTATAGGTAAAATATACAGTCAACATGCAAAAATTATAGTATTAAAAATCACAGATATGCAATTAATAGATCAAAACAATTTTAATTTTCTTAAAATAGTAAGGAATACCTTTACATTCTGATTATCAAAAATTATGAAAGACTTAGCATTTAAGTTTTTACCAAGAGTTAAATGTTACAGCTTATATCTAGATGTCCCCCAAAGGCTCATGCCATCACAGGTGGGGCTTCTTCAGAGGTGGCTGGATCTAGAGTGCGAGATGCTGTGTGGTTACTAATCAGTCCACCGACTGGCTTGGCCCCACCCTAATCCCCACAGCCTGGATAGATAGGGCATAAAAGGGCAGAAAGAAGCTGCTAAGGTCCCTTGTTTGCGCTCACCATCCGCCTGCTTGCTGTGGACTGTTTTTCCTCTGCAATGCCCATCTGCTATGCCACTCTATCTTGGAGCCACCCAACTATGAGCTAAACCCTCTACGAAATGTGAGCCAAATGAGCCTTCTCCTCCTCTAACTTTGGGTGTTGAGTATTTTATCTCAGCAACAAGAAAAGTAACTAAGACATTGAATAAAATTACAGAGTGGAAATGATACTTAAGAATTAGTCATTTCTTTTTTTCCAGATGTGAGAACTGAGACTTGGAAAGCTACCCAACTTTTAAAAGGTCATATAGCTTGAAGGCAGAGCAGACTAGAAACCTGTTCTTCTAACTCTCATTTAGTTTACTCTTCTTTCAATTAAATAATGTATCATTGGGTCCATAGACAAGTAGAGTCGGTTCACAGAATATTCTTTTAAAAACTTTTTAAAAGCTGCTAATCCAGCTTGCCCTCCCAAGCCCCAGGGTTAACATTTCAAATATTATTCAGAGCTTGGCATGGCAGTGCACACCTGTAGTTCCCCCATTCTGGGAAGTGCAGGCAGGAGGATCACAAGTTCAAACCCTGCCTGGGCGACTTAGCAAGACCCTGTCTTAACAAACCAAAACACAACACAACACAACACAACACAAAACAAAACAACAAACTATATATATTGTATTGTGTATGTAAAAGGACTGGGGATATAGATCAGTGTGAAGGCCTGGGGTTCAACCCTCAGTACCGAGGGAAGGGTTAGCAGGTAGAGGGTCTCTAAATATCTATTTTGTACCAAACTACAAAAACAAGTTTATGACTTCTCAAAGCTCAAAAATCTGCTAAGAAGAAGAACATATATTACCATAAAGGAAGTAGAGAGGAGGGGGATTAACTCTATCTGGAAATATTAAAAACAAGCATGTATACTTCCATACCTGTTTTTATATTTGCATTTCTCATTCATTCTTTTTTTTTTTTTTTTTTTTTTTCTCCGGTACCGGGAACCGAACTCACGACCTTGCGCTTGCCAGGCAGGCGCTTTGCCGCTGAGCTAAATCCCCAGCCCCTTGTCATTCATTCTTGAAGGCATCTAGCAAGTGTAGCTCATCACAAATAATAGCTAGATCTAGAGCCATCTCTCACCATTATTCCTCTCTGTGCTTTTTCATCCTAAGAGTCCTGTGTTGCTTCATGCTGCAGTGTCTTAACTTACTTTTTCCCTCCCATTATATTAAGCTGGAAAACTCAGAGTTATTCTTCAAAACTATGCTCACCATTCAGCGAAGTCTTTTAAAATCTCAGACACAGTGGCTTTTATGCCGGCATCTGCTGCACCAAAGAGCACTTTGCGGTTCACATGACTTTGTATCACACCAGGGGACCCTTGGGAGCAGGAGCTGATTATCTGCTTTTGTATTTTCCAAACTTAAAAGTACTGGAACTTAGAAGGTCCTCAATATTCAGTGAACTGAATATTAACTAAAAATCAAAGAATGGACGAGATAACTGGACCTCTTTTTCAAATGAATATGCTAAGTATAAATTTAAAGTTAATGACATATTTACTTACAAAAGCGAGAGACCTGCTTATGTTAAGAAAGACTGAAATCAGGGGTCTCATAGCAAATCAGTATTTCAGTATTTTTGGCTTGGTAACTTAGTGCTGAGAAAATTCAACTCCTATTCATAAGCAGTTATAAATGGTAATAGAATACATTTCAACTCTATAGAGATTTCTGGAGAAATTTTATGGTGAGATCTGAACAAAAAATTAACTTAGCAACAAAAGTCAATGTATTGGTGACTGACTCCTAATCTCTTAAAATTGGTACCTAAAGAATCTAAGGTCACATACGCTTTTCTGTCATATTGCTAAATGTTAAAAGACAATTTAAGGTTTCCATTTCTGGCAAAATCTAAAAAGCTACTTCTTCAAGGAAATATTTACTAACTGTAACACCTTAAAGTGTATAGCTAAATTTGTAAGAATGTATGGGTAAGACCCAAGAAGTAAAAACAGAGAGGACTGAAAACCCAAAGCTCTTATGCACACTCTGCCACCTTCTTGGAAGGGGTTTCTGAGCTTGGTATGAACAGTCCAGGTTTAGGTGCCACCACGGGATTGAAGATGAAACCCTTGGTACCTAAGTTGCAACTCAGACTGTCTCATAGAAAGCCCCAGCTCTTAAAAGTGTCAAGTCTTTGAGACGTACAGGCCAGAATTTTTAAAAAAGCCTGTTGTGTATGGATTACAAAAGAAATTTATGAGATGGGCGTGGTGGGGCATGCCTGTAGTACCTGCACTCAGAAAGCTGAGGCAGGAGGATCGTTGTGAGTTCGAGACCAGCCTGGGCTACAAAGTGAGCTCCAGGCCAGCCTGAACTGCACGGTGAGACCCTGTCTCAAAAAGACAAAAAAAAAAAGAAATTTATCTCAACGGAACAAACACTGAGGACCAACTGACTCAACCAAGAAATCACATTATTAACAAACAAGTATAGCTGTAACACTTCTATTGGTTTGTAACTTTGTTTCCTTTGAGACAAAAGTGAAACAATGACAACTGTGTCAGAACATTACTCATTTGTCAGTGGGGTAAGGAACTTCCTTGCTGAATCAGGTGGTGGTTTTTAAGAATTAGAAGAATATTTACTTGTTCAATTTTGGGGCTTTTCACACAACTGTAAAAGCTTCAGACACAGTACACTTCTAAATTTTGCCGGCATTACTAATATTTTCAACATTGCCTTCTTAAATCTATAACAAAAAAGGACACTTTGGGGCTGGGGATTTAGCTCAGCGGCAAAGCACCTGCCTGGCAAGCGCAAGGTCGTGAGTTCGGTTCCCGGTACCAGAAAAAAAACCAAACCAAAAAAAAAAAAAAAAGATATAAAAAAGGACGCTTTGCGCTTTGGTTTGTTTTTGTTTGGCTTGGTTTGGGTACTGGACATTGAACCTTAGGGGCCTTGACACTGAGCTCATCCCAGCCCTTATCTTACTGAGATAGGATCTTGCTAAATTGCCCAGGCTGGATTTGAACTTGAGACCCTCCTGGCTAAACCTCCCCACAACACACTGGGTTTGCAGGTATGCACCACCATGCCCAGCAATAATGGATGTTGGCCACTAAACTGAAAATACGTTTTGCATTTTTTTAGAGACTTTCCAGCCAAAGGAAAAAAATATGCAACAGAGACAGTAGTCCATAAAACCTAAAAAATTTGCTAACCAGCTTTTGGTCTAGTCAATCAACAAAGCAGTAAGCCCCTCTGAGCTACGGTGTTTACTGATTCCATGAGGTAAACACTCCCTCTGTGGCCAATTTCAAGCTACCAATATGACAGCACCTGAACATTTAACATTTGGAAGAAATGTGCAGCAGTGCACTGTGACATAGTACTTGGACAACAAAGATACAACAGAACCCTCACCTTATAGGTGACAGTAAAAAGCAGTAAAAGGATTTTAGGAAATAATGACTTGAGTATTTACTCATTACCTTTGTTTTAATTTAGCTTATATATCCGTACCTAAGCTTATTATATTAGCTTATATAACTCTAAGCTTATATATGATTTAAAATAATGATTTAAAAAAATAGCTATTTTAAAAAACGGCTAGTATTATTAATAGCTATGCTGAACAACCAACTTGCAAAGCTCCTGAAAATTTAACAATCATCTCTCCTGAACCACAGTGAGCCGATCCCAGCATACTATTCTGTACGGCTGCACTCTGGGAAATAAGGCTGCACACACTTCCCACAGACACCACTTCAGTGTAGGTAAGCTTAGACTCTCAGACTAATGTAGCACATCGAGAAATAATCTACCATGCAAGTAATGAAGCAAGCAACAGAATAAAATTCACAGGAACTTCAAGAAATATCATGATCTAATGAGACAATAAAACAGCTATGTTTAACAAGATTTTAAAAATCAAAACATGATAATATACTAACAAAAAAGATCAGAGAAATCATAAAGAAATAACTATAAATACATGTTTTCCCTGGATATTTAAAAGAACACAATGATAAAAAAAGTAACAACACAAGTGATAATCTAATTATTGTACTACTTTATCAGACAGGATTTGAAGAGCTACTGAGGTAAGACCCTAAATGAAGCACCAACCTAAGCAGCCTTTCATCTTGAAATTTTGCATCTATTCTTACAGGGCTTGTTTTCTTTCTACTGGACAGGTGTCCAAATATTACTGTTCTTCTCTGTAGTGTCAGCCCTACTACCTCTCTAGAACCTTCCCACTTTCTGCTATCCTTCTACTGTTAACTTGGTTTTTATCTGACGAAGAGAAATCAGGTAACAGAGGTCCACTGAATTCCATAAAACTAAAACATAAATATGTACACGTCCTACAATCAGGAAGTTAAATATAGCAGAGAAATAACCCAATTACCTAGTCTGCTTCCATTTCTCGGCATTGCCATGAAGGAGCCAAGGCTGCCTCCAATAACACTGTGGGGTCTCCGCAACGGGGGCTTCTTGAAAGACCCTGTGTACTGGTGGAGGAAGGAATGCATACTGTGAGACGTGGGAGGCCTGCCATTCTTCACAATAGGCTCTGTGGTTCACAATATCCAAAAATCATTCCATCGCCAGCCCAAGATGCAGGATCACATGAGAAGGATCGGGAAAGCAGAACAGAAAACAAAACAAAATGCTGTAAGAGAGGTCATTACATTTAGCCTTACTTCTTTGGCTATCTAATACAAACACTAAAGTTAAAATAATTTCTATGAAAGAGTACTTATAGAAAATTAGTTGGTCTAATGACTTATCTATACATTTCTCATGTAGCCAAAATTAACAATCACCAAACTACTAATGTAGTCTATCAGATTTTTAATTGCCTATTTTAATGTCTCAGGATTGTTTCCACACTCCTCTTCCATGTACTGACTTAATGAATAAACCAGAAATACTGAAGTGTGCATCAGTACAGAGGCTCTGAAATTACAGCGCAAATTTGGAATTTTTAATGTAAGGAGTCTTTAAAGAACAACAGACTCACTAAAGCACAAAGTATCCAAATACAGAACTTAAAAAGTATTTAAGTGGCTAAAAATCTGGGTAAGATTTTGTTTGAATGTCTGTTTTGATTCTTTTGAGTTTATCCTTACAAATGGAACTGCTGGATTATATGGCTCTATGTTTAACTTTCTGAGGAAATGAGATAGATTAATTTTTGCTAGTTTTTAGGAAATTAAACATTTAATGCTGTTTCAGTTAAAATCTGATGAGCTCGGAATAATTTTTCCTTACAGATACTTTAGGAAAACTACTTTACACTGCAGTTTATAAATTTCTGTGCAAACATTTCATTTCATACTTAAGGAGAGCTATACTAAGTGAAGGTTTGAATGCTTAAATCAACCAAGTTTGTAAACTTTCAAATTATTTTTAACACACTGACTACAAAATCAGGATTCATCTTTCCCTAGATTCAATCCACCTGTCATATGCAAACATCCAAATTAAATAAATACACCGAATAATATGAATTACAATTATATTAATACATTTATAACTGAGTTTAAAACTTTACAGTGCAGCCCAGTTAATGAAATGACAGAACTATTAACTCAAGGAAGAGGAGTATGGACCAGTGAGAAACTATGTGCATATCTATTACCAAAAGCATCATATGTACCATAACTTTTCCAAGATGTTTATAGTACAACTTCTCAAAGTGTGTACTTCCCCATTCAACTGGTTCTAGGGTATGCATGACAGCTACATGACTATATGTAATGCAAGAATAACAGGACTGTGGTCATACATGTGATTAAACAAGAGAAAGGAGATCAAAAGTTCATCCAAACAGTGTTTACTCGGGGAAATATAAACTATATGTCTCATATTCCATACTAACACTCTCATCTGTCGTTAGGCAAAGGCCATTTGTGATTTATAAACTCATTATATCCTGTATGAGCAGATTAAAAAGTATTATCCCACACTCATAACAATTTGACATAGACTATGTTTGTGTATGACCTATCTTAGAAGCTTTTTGTGCTTTAAAAAAATGAAACAAAAAAACTAAACTCCGTAAGGAAAGAATGTGTTGGACAGAACCGGTTATCAGGCACTGGTAGGCGACCAAAGAGATGTAGAATCTCTGCCAAGGCTGTTCGTGAAATCCATGAAAAAGAGAATAAGCAAAAGCAGGTACAGTAGTCCACGCTACCAGCAATCTCCACAGCCCAAGAAGAAGCAATGTTTATTATGAGGTCTTCAAGTATTATTTCAAGCAACTCAGGCCAAAAAGAAACAACAGAACTCCTGTTTTATTTTTTCCTATTAGAATTACTACATTCATAAACGAAGTTTTAAGAATATAAACTACTTTAAAAAATTAGGTTTTTTAACATTTCACCATTTGTTACAAACTATATGCCTTCTAAGATAATTAATATTAAAATATTCCAGAAAATATGTAATCAGTCTAAAAAATAACCAATTCTTCAAAATGTTTCTTTGATTCATAGTTTTTTTAAAAAATGTAAAAAGAGAACTGCTTTGTAGTCAAACATACATTAAGAACGTGTCTTAAAAAAAAAAAAAGAATGTGTCTTAGATGCTATTTACCAAGATGCATACTGTGCTTATTTTATTCCTGAACATCACTGGTAAACATACTGGCAAGACTCTTCTATCCTAACAATGAACACACTGGATTTAATTAATATGAAGTCTTCAGTGGGAGTTTGCTCCATGTATCCAGTAGAATCAGCTTATAAGAGGAAGAAAATATAAAACCATCTTCAGAATTTGATCCAAATGCAAAATTTTCCTTTCTACATATAATTATATCCTAATTATTATTTTACATTTCCTGCTGAGCCCATCTCTCTTCTCCTTGTGTTAAAAACAAAACTGGCAGTGCCAAAGGAAAACACTAGCAAAACCAAGAAGGTCTGAGAAAACAGACGTGATGCTGCAGACTGAATGAAGAAAACCTACGCTGTACTAACTGTGCCAACAGTCACCCAACAACCTGGGGGCCCCTAAAAAACCAGACAAAGTTTGGTAAGCATTACCCCTTTGAAAAAACCAAACACGTTATCTAAAGCCTGAGTAAGATAAATGACGCCCAGGACCAGCCCTTGTAGGGTATTAGTATATTCCAAATCACAGCCCGTGACTCATAACTTAAAATGCAGCCCCTTCCCACGACACCTTTCCCTCTCTCACAACACAAGCATCCACAGAGAATGCGGCAGGGTGGGGGTGGGGGTGAACATGTTCGCGTTTTTACGCACTGCCACAAGAGCAGAATTTCAAGGCACAAGCAATGATGGCTTGCCACATACTCTACATATGCTAACACTGGCAGCCATTCATTTAAATTCTTTCTTGATTATTATGACATCTATGGAGTTATTTTAGTTTTAAGTACGTAGCCATGTTCTAACAGTTTCACCAAGTTTGCATTTTCATTCTATTTAACAAGCTCTTATATTAACATTGTTAATAGCTCTTTACATTATATATTAACAGCCCTTTTACATTAATTAATGTATAATTAATACATATATTGTTAATACATATATTAACAGCTCTTTTACATTATATTAACATTCCACTTGGAATTGTAAAAAGCACCGTCAAATGCATGAAACACTGTATATCACCTGCCTTAAGTGCTCTCAATACTATAGATAGGTTCTGGTAAACACAAAATACAAGAGTAAAAATACACAGTGATGAACCCTGTAACTTATGTAAACAGTCCCTACGTACACAGTTTATTATAAAGCTATGAGGAAGTAACAAACAGGAATTTCACAAACATCCTATGTACTTTAACTCAGGCTATAAAAATAACAAAAATAACTGAAAAATACACTGTGATCAAAAAATACAGTGATAGTTTAATTTGCTTAAAAATGTTACAGTAAAAGATGCATTACTATAAATCCTCCTCAAAAACACCCCTTCACTTCAAGCACACTTATCGCACCACTCCTGCCACTTTCTGAAACAGTGGTACAAGTCTGCTTCTGTATCTTTAATTGCACTCCTGTGGCTGTCTCAACGCACTAAATCAATTCAAAACGGTTGCCTTTCGTGGTCATACTGACTCTGGGGAAGAAGCAGAAGTCACAGGTGCCAGAACCAGTGAATAAGGTGGAAAAGGACCAACCATAATGCTTTGGTGAGACTGCCAGGACTGCCTGTTCATTAAATGGCACGCAGCAGCGGTATTCACCATAGTTTTATCATATCTTGTAAAGACACTCATGAAAGAAGACTTCCAGACGTGCTTCAAAAAGCGGTATGAATTAATAACAAGGTATTTTTTAGTATAACATTTTCAGTGGAAACCCTCACCATATATTTTGATGATCCCTTGTAATTTGAAAATAGTTATTTAACAATTAGCATGATGTTACGCAACTTATCCTTACTTATGAAATAGTAAAAAACACAAAGATATGTGGGATGGAATAACTTATTGGGGTTTGAGACCAAGCACAGTAACACTGCTAGAGTGACTGTAGAATACTCCAGTAAGTATGTAGAAGTTATATAATCTTTTCTGTCCCAAGAAACAAGAGACAGAGAGAGATAAACAAAAGGATGCTGTTAGGGATCTATCTGGGCAGTAAACTTACATTCTATCTATAAAGTAACTGAATGGGGAGCATCTACCCCATCCCAAATATTTACCATTATCTTTGCTGCTGTTTTCTTCAATAGTCATTTGTTCAGCCAGTTCAGATAATGATTCATCAATAGTCTGGCTTCCTCGAAGTGTGAGGGACAACCTTCTCTTAAACTTTTTCATCCTATCAATTGAATGTGGCTTGAAAAATCCTGAAAGAAAAGAATGAACACAAAATTAAAACTAAATATTTTACTGCTCAAGAAAAAATGTCTGGGTTTCCTAGGAATCTTCAAACTAGGAATACAGTGAGGAATTCTTCTACTAAACTATAAAATTCAACCCTTTATTTAAAAAACACACCATGTATTTATCCATAGAAAAGAAGGAATTCTATATAACTAAAGATTATAAGCATAATAATTGAGATTATAAGCATAATAATTACATTTATTTTGTTGTTTTGTTTAGTATTTTTGAAATAGGGTCTTGCTATGCAGTTCAAAAAAGCAGGAATTCACTATGTAGCTTTGGCTGGCCTTGAACTCATGGTGACCCTCCTACTTCAGCTTCTTAAGTGCTGGGATTATAGGCATGCATCACCTTGCCCAGCAATAATTAAATTTTTTGGAAATGCAAATTTTCTTAGGATGTGCTTTCTAAAAACCAACATAGAGGCAATATCAATACTAGCTTGATGCTTTTCTCACCTGAAGGTTCTAAGGTCATTTGAGAGACGCAAATTAAAACAACACTGAGATTCCATCTCACCCCAAAGAGAATGGATATTATCAAGAAATCAACCAATAACAAATGCTGGAAAGGCTGTGGGGAGAAAGGAACCCTTCTCCACTGCTGGTGGGAGTGTAGACTTGTGCAACCATTGTGGAAATCAATGTGGAGATTCTTCAAAAGACTAGTCTATTCAAAGTCTATCACAAGTCTCAGTCATCATATAGGAAGCAGCCAGTGACATCTTACAGACACCAATTACTAGGAGGTAGAAGAGGTGAGAGGGGAAGATCAAGAATTTCGTATGATACTTTACCATCCCATTCTCAGGTTAGGAAAAGTGCTCAAAGAACTTCTTTAATCCAAGTCAAATACTAAAGAATGGAATTACAGTTTAAAAGCAGGATTACCATTTAGTTTTCCCCGTACATTGTAATTTTTCTGAAATCAGGATGTAACTCGGTTACTGAGATATCAAGATCTAATTGACAACATTTTTCCCATTTTCTGTCTTAGAGCTATGTAGACTAATGGTACAATTCAGAATGGAGTCTTAGCCATTATGAGACTTGATAAAACCAATTCTTCAACAATTTATCCATAACTTCTTCCCTAAATTGCTATTTCTGACTACTGGTAGTTTGACAAATCACTATGCAAACTGTAACCATTATCCCAAATAAGAATAAGGGCACAAAAGAGAAAAGAAAGAAGGGGAAATTACGTGTGTATGTATATCCAGGATAGCTAACATAGTTGTACTACTGACTTCTATCACTTTACTGAAAGGAACAGTTAATGATTACTTATTTGATCCATTTTGCATGTCTCTGTTTGTTTTCCTGAGAAACCACTTTGAAAATATCCACATGTAATACAACAACCATTGTTAATTTCCTACCACTTTGTCTGTAACTCTGTATTGCTTGTATTGTTCTTACGCTATTTTGTAAATGGATGTCTGCTTGTTAATGTTTCCCTTCTTTTATTTTTAAAATAAATTTAAAAAAAAAAAGAATAAGGGCACTACAGCAAAAGAAATTATCCACAAAGTGAAAAGACAACCCACAGAGTGGGAAAAAATTTTAGCTGACTGTCCTTCAGACAAAGGACTTGTATCTAGAACATATAAAGAACTGAAAAAAATCAGACCCCCCAAATTCAAAGACTCAATCAAAAAATGGACATCTCAGAACACTTCTCAGATGAAGAAATGCAAACGGCAAATAAATATATGAAAAAATGTTCAACATCACAGGTCATTTGAGAGACGCAAATTAAAACAACACTGAGATTCCATCTCACCCCAAAGAGAATGGATATTATCAAGAAATCAACCAATAACAAATGCTGGAAAGGCTGTGGGGAGAAAGGAACCCTTCTCCACTGCTGGTGGGAGTGTAGACTTGTGCAACCATTGTGGAAATCAATGTGGAGATTCTTCAAAAGACTAGTATTAGGGGCTGGGGATTTAGCTCAGCGGCACAGTGCCTGCCTGGCAAGTACAAGGTCATGAGTTCAATTCCTGGTACCGGAAAAAACAAAAAACCAACCAACCAAACAAACAAACAAACAAAACACTAGTATTAGAGGTCCCATTGCACCCAGCTATTTCCCTTCTGGGTATCTTCCCAGAAGAATTAAAAACATCATACCACAGAGATATATGTGCACCCATGTTCACAGCAGCACAATTTGTAACAGCCAAATCTTGGAAACAACTCACATGCCCATCAACGGAGGAATGGATAAAAAAGATGTGGTACTTTTATGCAATAGAGTACTACTACTCAACCATAAAGAAGGATGAACTTGAGACTTCTATAGATAAATGGATATAACCTGAGGCCATACTCATAAGTGAAATAAATCAGACTCATGTGTAAACATTGTACTGTCTGCCTGGTGTGAGAAACTGAAAGAGTAAGTATTAAAATGTACAACAGATATTGTGAAATGGGAGGAAATTGTTCGAAGGGAAAAAAGAACTAGGATGGGTGAAAGGGGAAAGGACAATAGAGAAAAGGGGAAAAAATGCAAGTCAGTTATACTGTTTGTGTCTCTTAGCTCATTAAAAAGGAAAGTTTGCACTAATATCAATTGGAGAAATTTTTATGCCCATACCTTGTTCCCTAAGCAGCTACTTTAAAGATAATATGTAATGTATTAACTACTGTTATTTTCCTATTATTTTGTTAGGAAATGTTGTTTTACCTTTTTCCGATAAATTTTTTTAAATGTTAAAAGAGTAAGGGCACTACAGCTCCCTGATGCTAAAATACACGAAGTTTACCATCCTGCTCTCTTTATCTATTTTCCCTCTGTATTTTGCTTATTTTCTCACCTAAAGGTTCTAAATAGCTAAGTTTAAGAACAAGTGATTTCTTCATAAAGTATCAGTCATGGAACAATTTTTGTTTGTTCAAACACTAAAGGAAGGGTATCAAGTACACTTATTTATAAGTGAAAATAATTACATGTTTTATCCCCATAATACATATTTAATGTATTTTTAAGAAAAAACCACAGCCAGGCATGGTGGCGCACACCTGTAATCCCAGCACTCAGGAGGCTGAGGCAGGAGGATCATTGCAAGTTCGAGACCAGCCTGGGCTACAAGATGAGCTCAAGGCCAGCCTGGACTGCATAGCGAGACCCTGTCTCAAAGAAAAGACAGGAAAAAAAAAAAAAGAAACCACTATAGTAAAAATATAAAACCACATACATTAAAATAGCAAGAATTGCAACTACACTCACATAAGGACCCTTTTCACCCTTTCACTCTTTTCATAAGCTGTCAGATAAGAGATTTGGTTTGGTGAAATATTTAAAAGTTGCTATATTTTATTTTGGTTTGGTCTTCACGCCAAAAAGACAAATCCATGCTGCTGAATGTTTTCTATTTACTTATCTTCTAGGTTACTATTCGTCTTTTCAGACGTGTCTAACCAGCAGTTAAACCTATCTATTGTGCTAATTTTAGTTGCCATATTTTCAATTTCAGAATTTCATGATTCTTTTCTAAGAATTAATGTTCTTTTGTGGAATTTTCAATCTCAGTATCTCTTTTCACGAACAGGTTGGTTATAGAATTATAAAGCCCCTACAACTCCAAAGTCTACATAACCTGGACTTGTTTCCACAGTCAATGTTTTCCTCTTGATTTTATTTTGTGCCTAGCGATTCTTTATTGAATGCCAGACTCATGTTTCACCAAGCTAAGTTAATTTACTGGCCACTGGTTTGTTCTCATTCACCTGCTGTGGCCCTTCAGGAGATGCAAAAGTAAACCTACAGCCAGAGCAACAATGAAAACAATAAACTATTGAAAGCCCTATTCAACTTTCTCAGTTGCTTTTCGTTCATCTCTTCTGCCCAATTCAGCTTTTACCTCCTTATCCAAATCAGCTTACATTGGAAAACGCAAGAGGAAACAACACAAAATGTGTCCGTCTCCTTTCTCTCTTCAAGACTTGGCTGACTCAGAAGTGCTAAAAGGTCTACAAAAGGCTTTTTTTCCCTAGTATCTTTAATAGGTTTGACAGGAATTTAAGTCTTCTGTAAGTTACTCCACCATAGACCAAAAAAAAAAAAAAAAGAAGGGGGGTTGACATAATTTCAACAAGCTAAGTGAATTTATGAGACAGTAAACTCAAGACTTGATTCCAACAAAAAAAAAAAAACTGTAGCACATCTTAAATGTTTTTTCCTTTTTTTTTTTTGTACTGGGAATTGAACTCACAACCTTGCATTTGCTAGGAAGGCACTGTGCCACTGAGCTACATCCCCTAAATGTTATATTCTTCACATGTGATAGTCAACCTTTATTGTTCTACTTTAACATTCAGTATTCCATATTCACATTTTTTGTTAAAAGGTATCAGAGCCAGACATGGTGGCACATGCCTGTAATCCCAGCACTCCAGAGGTTGAGGCAGGAGGATCATTGTGAGTTTGAGGCTAGCCTGGACTACAAAGTGAGCTCAAGGCCAGCCTGAATTGCATAGTGAGATTCTGTCTCAAAAGGACCAAAATAAATAAATTAACAAACAAATAAATAAAACGTATCAGATGTTTAAGGCAAATAGAGCTGTCACTCTCATCTTTTTGTTTTGTAACTTTACACCAGAGATGCTCTCCTTTGAAAGGCTCTTAGAATCATCCTGTGCAGTAAAAAGGCAACTCAGCAGGTTTATGGTGCTTAAACTCTGGGCATGCTGAAGAAAGGACTCACCTGAAAGGTACTCTGGAAGATAAGCTCTAAGCCCTTGGAATATTCTACCTACAAGAATGTACCTGTAAACCTGACAGTGGATCATACCAGACATATTGTTTCTTGCAGTGCTCAGGATCAACTAAGGCCTTGCACATTTAGGCAAATTTCTATCACTGAACTCATCCCCAGTACTAATCCCAATAATTTACATTAACAATGTGAACTATGTCATAGCAGCGCAATTTGTGATAGCTAAATTGTGGA